CCGCCGCCGCTCCTCGGGGAATGCGAGCGGGAAGCGGGGGCGGCGGCCGCCCGGCACCGGCGGCGCACGGAGGAGCAGGTGGGTGCCGGCCGGCGAGGGGTCTGGGAGGGCGGGCCGCGGCTCCGGGGCAGCGGCAAAGCGGAGACGCCTTTTGATTCCTCTCCCGTGGCGTTCCCGGTGCAGCCCACCCGTGGGAGCCGCCGGGTAACGCTCCATTGCGGCGGGGCTTATGCAACCTGCGTGGGGCTGCCCACGCGTGATGCTGGGTATCCCGCCGGTGGGCCCGCCTGACACTCGTGCTTCCCTCCGGGACGCTTACTCCTGTTGGAAGGGAATGGGAGCAGATGTCCAAGGGGAGTCCCGGCACGGCATCCGCATGTATCTGGCTGGGAATAGCCGGGGTGCTCTTGCCATCCCCGGAATTCCCTAGTAGTTCACCTCTCGTGTTCGTTCGCTCGGGTATTTTAAGCTTTTAGCCTCTTTATTACTTAGGAAACGTAATATACTGTAATGAGAGAAAAACAACAACTCTTTTTTTTTTTTTTTTTTTTTTTCTTTTTTTTTGTCTGCTTCAGGATTTGTATTTTTTACGGCATGGAAGTGGGCTTTTTGCTTAGGGAATCAAAGGAGCCGTTTTCCTATTGTTAGCTGTAAACTGCCTTTCCAGGCACTCTTTGTTGTGCAGACAGCATCGTCCCCCGGTGTTTAGACAAAGGCAGTGCTCTTAATGCACCTTTATTGATGTTTCGTTTATAGGAAGAAAGAACACAACCTTTTCCGTACACAATAGTAAAAGGCAATGATCTGCTCTGAAATGCACTAGSACTGATGATTCCACAGGGGCAAACAGAGCTGCAGGAGCACATCCCGAAGTAATTTCCAGGTGGTTTTGATTTTGTTCATGATTTTTGTTGAAGATTCTTATAAGATGCTCTGCACTTAACCGTAAGCAAGCCATGTCACAGCTGAAATAGTTTAATATTGGAAAGTGTCTGGTAGAATTTGCCTGGCATTGTATCTAGAAGCGGGCCACTCTGAAAGATTCTGGTACTTGAGAATTCCCTTAGTCACATTTACGTAAGCCAATGCATCTTCTTGCCCCCTTCTCAAGAAAAATGGGGCAGAGCAGAGCACACGCCTGAATGTAGGGTAAGGACAGATGCCCCGAGAGAGGCTCAGAGTTCTTTCTCTCTGTGTTCATAAGCCCGCCTGCAGGACATCACAGGAGGTGAGTGAGGAATTCTTTTGGTTCTGGTTGCTGTCCTCCCTGGAAAGAGAGGTTACAAAGTTGCGTCAGATCTTCTCATGTGTTACTGCGCTCAAACTAGTTGTAACTCCTCGCCAAGGAGCTTTTCCCTGCAATTTACAACTGCTTCTTAGCGACGGATGTGTTGTGGTTTCAGGGGATGGTGCAGGCTGAAGAACTGCCTTCCGATGTTGCCTAAACACATTTTAAAATGAAGCTGGTAAAGGAGCTGCTTGGTTGGCCACAGCCACACTTGGCTGAGAAACTCTCTTTCCACTTTTCTCAAGCACAGATAGTGATCCTGGCCCTTTCTGACAAGTTGGGGTGTAGCAATAGGATAACAAGGCAGAAAATTTAAATAGGCCACAAGGAAGAAGGAGMAAATCCTTCCTATTTATTGGATATGTTTCACTGTCATAGTGTGGAGCAGTTTCTCTGCATACTGAGGTGCAGTCAGCTGGACAAATAATAAACTAGATTCGGAGATAAGGAATATCACTTGTCTTTATTTAATATACATAGAGAATGWAAATACTGGATAAAGTAGCAGTAAAAAATAATAATTGGATAAATAAGTAGTATTTTATTTTTATGTGTAGGGAAGACACAAGGAGTTGGTGGTACCTACACTTGCTGCAAACTTCGACAGAAAGTCCTAGATTCTCTTGTTCAAGAGAAGAGCAAACAAGTTTGATTTGGCGGGGCTTCTGTGTCACCAAGCCTTGTCATACCCTGCACCTTTTTTGCTTTCGTGAGTGTGTTCAGTTTTCTCTCAAAAYAATCAGTTTCCCRTGCCCTTCTCGCTCTCCTGGAGGAATTGTTGCTGAACTGTGCCATTCCAATGGGCAGGGATCGTTTCCAGGCTGGGTCCTTGTTGGAGTCCCTGGTGGAGGCCCAGCRCTGTCGCTGTGTTTGCTGAGGGTATTTACACTGCTAACACAGACTCTGCTCCTCAGCCCGTGTTTTCCTGCTCCATGTTCTCTCCTGAAGTACAAATGTGTGAGCCACTTTAGCGACACGTGCAGTGCTAAAGAAAGGAGTCAAAATATGCTTTGGTGTTTGTATAAATTCTTATTTCTCTCATCTGCYGCAAAGTAAAGCCTGCATGAGAGCAACTGCTTTTGCCTTTTTGAGAGGGACTTTTAGGTGAGGATCTGGGGCTGTACACCTGGGTGTKATTTGGTTTTTCCCATTTCCTGCAAAATAAATGCCGTTTGTGTAAGATCATACTTTGTAATTTAAGACTAAAAGAATACCTTCCTGACAAGCAGGACCTAAATCATAATATGTGCACCCTTTAATATTTTTTTCTAAGAGAGAGTATTCTGTAGGAAATAAATCTGTTTAATGCTAAACCCTCTGGCTTTAATTTTTTTTATTAAAAGCTTGTTATTTTGTCAGCACAGGCATGCTTAATGAAATTACCGGCAGGTACATTTTTGAAAGAATAGAAGGATATGTAACTAAATGTTATACATAGCCTTTAGAATTCATTATTGCATTAGATTGTAGAATTACCTACTCCTGTGATTAGATTTGAAGGCTGAACTGGGGATAATTTGATTCATATCCTTTGTAGGTTTGTATGCAAAGGTAATTACACCTACTTTAGTCTTCAAAGCGCTTCAGGACCTGGGTAGTTTCTTCCACCTCTCCTGTATTGCAGTGCTAGGGTTCAGAAGGAGTGAGTGAAGGCACCCAGAGGTTCAGCTATTCCTGAAGCCATGGGAGTAGGTTGCTGCTTTGCCCTAAAAGTTCACTTTTTTCCCCTAATAACTATTGATAGTTATTAGTCAGACACGTAAGTTGTCCTGTATTTTCACCATCACTAGAGATAAGGACCTCAAACCTCCTTCCTTAACCCACTTTCTAAAATAGGTTAGCTTCTGTCACATTACTGCGCTCTAAATCTCATCAACACCTATAAATTAAACTACCAATTAAGATTAGAAAAGTGTGAGTGTGTATTAATAGAAGGTGATGCAGAAGTCCTGTATCCTGCACATGCCTGTATCCTGCACATGCCATACAGCAGGACATGAGGTGYGTTAGTGGGGTACACAGCACCCTGTCTGTCCATGGGGACTTTGAAGCCAAGTTGTGTGTCACATTGGAGCTCCTGAAAGCTGTGGCACTGTGGTTCCCTTCTGTTCTGAGAACTGCRGGCGGTTCCCTGTCTGGGCAGGAATGGGGAAATGGGTTCCTTGTAATCGAAATTGAAGGCAATGATGAAATTCCCAGGTGCTTCAGTGAGGCCGGGATCCCCACGCTGTTTTAGGATACACAGAATCCACAGTACTGTTCAAGTGTAAAACCGAGGCTTCYGGAAAACGCTGAGTTAATATGTGATACATGTATTTGCAAGTAGATACTTTWGCAGAGACGGAAACCTTTCCATTAACCTGAGTTTGTAACCCTTTCGTGATGATTTATGGCTGTAAGTGAAGTATTTTGTCTTTTCATAGATGKTTTCAGATTTAGAGGTGCTGTTACAAAGAGGCTTTGAGAATTGAGAATTATGTTGAGGAGGTATGGGTGTCTTAACTAAGTTCAAGTCTTCAACTTTTTGAATAACTTTCCAGTGTCACTGGTATTTCTCCAGAATGGGGAGCATGAGCAGAAACAGAACTAGAGAATAGTATCAACAAATCTGGGGTATCCYTTGTGTAAAATCTTCATTACACTATTGGTTGAATATGTGCTGTATTGCTTAGAATGGTATCATTTCAGTCTTAAGTCAGTAGAGACCAAGAATATTCTAAAGTACACTTGTATATGTGGAACTTGCAGTGCCTAAGGCTGGAAACCTATTTCTAATTTATTCCACACTGAGATAATCTGAAAATTGTAGGTTTCTCCTGATCACATTTGTTGGAATTTGTTTCCGAAAATAGTMATTCCTGACAAGGAGGACTTAATCCCAAATTTGTTCTGGCTCTACAAATAATTTAGCTCTGTTGCAGAGGTTCATAACTAGAAAATAATAGGTGATAATAACTTTCTAAAAAGCATTATTCAGTTTTCTGGGGCTTAAGAGCATTTGAAGGAAAAAAACCCCAACCCTTCAAACTTACCTGTAGCACCTACAAGAGACAGGATCACATGATCTGCTTGAATGATGGGAAGATCCCGTTTTGTTAAGGAAAAAAGAGATAGAAGACATAGAAATATCCTCTCTTTAAAAGGCAAAATTAACAGGTGCTGCTTTTCAGCAAGCCAGTGCATTTGATTCCACACTGAATGTACAGGGATTGCAGACCTYTTTGCTGGGTCAAGCTGACCAGTTTCAGTGGGGGACTCTGATAAATGAAATCCAATGGAAGTTAAGTGTTATGGGTGTAATGAAAAGGTGGATTAGATACTGCCTTTGATCTAGTCTCTATATAAAATTGCAGCATGGATGGGATCAAGTTACAGTGACAGTAGCAGGAGCRTAGGAGTGTAAACAGTATCCTAACGTGGGGGAGAGAGGCAGTACATCTTGACATGGGGGCTGCCAGGTTTCCTCTCCCACAGACCCTCCTGTGCCAGGTTCCTGTCTTTCRCACTTTCTAATCTGGTGCTGTATTCGAGGGGAAACTTATTCCCAAAATTAGGGGACATTTGTTTTGTTTATCAAGGGAAGCCTCTGTTCTTCTTGAAGCTGTTTTTGTTCCACCTATAGACGAGTTAAGTATCTGGAAAAGCCTTTTCATCTCCTTAACGCAAAACCTCTGCTGGTATTTTGACATTTGTTCCAGCAACTGTTGATTTTAAACTTGAGTTGCTGTAAAAGCTGACTAAAGGGAATCCGGGGCTGTTACTTTTCTTATGTTGTTGCTTGTTTCTATAG